TTGTTTGATTACTTGTGCTGTGAAATTGTTATGCTTTGTTTGTGTGGAATTGGGATGAAGTGGGTTACCATGGATTTATGAGGGCGGTCTTCGATACCATCGGCCATGTATAGGGAGATCGGTGCCCCCATGTGCATCTGATGATATATGATATGGAAAACCACAGGGTGGCCGCCTGTAGGTATGGAAAAGAAAAGAGAGTATATAAAAAAGGAGAAGGCTATTCAAGTGAGGATTAGACCGGTCAACCATGTATGGGGGATCGGCTCTCTGGTGCACACGTTTCAGAGGGTAGGCCATGTGGGAGGACGGCTCGTCGGGGGTTTCAGTGACGCCATTGACTAATTTTCACTTGTTTAATTATTTGAAGGTGAAATTACTTGGGAGTGCTGATATTGTGCCATATGCTTGACTGGTTGTGTATTCACTTTAGTATCTTAGGGTGCATTTCCCGCGAATGCTTGTGTTATGCATTATTTATTATTATTCACTGAGTTGCAAAACTCACTCTTCTTTATTTAACTTGTCAGGAAGTAGAAGCCCATCGATCCTATGGAAAACCACAAGGGTGGCCGCCTGTAGGTATGGGAAAAAGAAAAGAGAGTATAATAAAAAAGGTGAAGAAAGGCTATCGTCAAGATGAACGGATTAGGCAGCGAGAACCGGTTGGTCAACCATGATATGACCTGGGGATCGGCTCTCTGGATGCCACCACGGTTTTCAGAGGGTAGGGCCATGTTGGGAGGACGGCTTCGTCGGGGGTTTTTCACAGTGACGGCCATTGACTAATTTTTCACTTGATTTTAATTATTTGAAGGTGAAAAATTACTTGGGAGTGCCTGATATTGTGCCTATGCTTGCACTGGTTTGGTGTATTCACTTTAGTAATCTTAAGGGTGCAATTCTTCCCCGCGAGATGCTTGTGGCTTGTGTTATGCATTATTTATTATTATTCACTGAGTTGCAAAACTCACTCTTCTTTATTTAACTTGTCAGGAAGTAGAAGCCCATCGATCCTACTAAAGCTCTGCAATCTTCTCCATATGGCTATAAAAGGAAACTCCTAATTTCTATAATTATCTAATTTATGTATTGTTATATTAAAAAAAAAAAAAAATTCTCTGCTTCCAACTATTGTTGAACTCCGCAGTAGTAGGACATATGTATCTCTAGTCTTATATTCTTAGGTACGCTGATCTATAATTGTCCTTATTATTTATTTAAATACATATGAATCAGTAGCCCGTATTATGAATGAGATGTATTACTAATAGGCCCGAACTATGTTTTATTTGTGATATTTGAGATTGGGCTAGGATCATGTGATTACTATGTATATATGAATTAATATGGGCTTACTGCTCCTAGGATTTTGCGTGGCGTGTATGGGATTGGTAGTTTAGGCTTACTATGATTACTATGTATATATGAATTAATATGGGCTTACTGCTCCTAGGATTTTGCGTGGCGTGTATGGGATTGGTAGTTTAGGCTTACTACGGGCCTTGGGGGACTTAAGCTTACCTGGGCCCTAGTGCCGGTCCGACCTATAATTTCGGGTCGTGACAAAGTTGGTATCAAAGCTTAGGTCTAATTCTAGAAGTAACTACGGAGTTATTTCTGTCATGTCTTGATGTAGTTTCACTTTGCCTCTTAAGATTCCAACGTGATCGTCTTTAGAGTCACATTATTAGAATTAGACTAAGGGATATAATTGATGTTAGTAGGATAGGACTTATTATGTTTTGATAAATTTTATTTTATGCTTTGAATTTCAGCATGGTGAATACCAGGAGAAGAGCATCTGATAATGCGGTGCTATGCTCCATATGAGGCTTCTTCCGGGCATCCAGCCCCAGCTAGACGATGAACCGGTAGACCTGCTAGAAATGTTATTAATGAAGAGGAAAGAGTTCAGGAAAGTCAGAATGAGGAAAATATAGCTAGAAACCCCCCCGGAAGTAAACACATTGATGACTAGACTTCAACAGGCCATAGCTGCTATGAATAATATGTTGATGTAGCAACAACAGTTCTTTCAGGCTCAGCAGTAGCAACAGCAGATGCCTCCTCCCATACTCGATCTGACAGCAAAGCCATTTCAGCCGGCTCCACCTACCATTATTTTGAGGGCCGCTAATGATACTCTTTATGATAGATTTATCCGGTATAAGCCACCAAGTTCACAGGAACTGAGGATGCTCATTCATCTTTAGCCAGAATCAAAGAGTTTTGTGTTGAGTTAGGCTATGATAATGAGAGGTCCATTGTATTTGCGGGCCATAGGATGGAGGGTATAGCAGAGATATGGTTTAGAGACTATATTCAACCTTCTATTTTTGGGATGTCTTGGCAGCAGTTTTCTGCTCTTTTCATGAATCAGTTTGTACCAGAAGCTGACTCGGAGAGCCAAAATGAGAGAATTTAAGTCTCTGGTTCAGGGAGATTGTCTGTTGATGAGTATGCCACCAAAGTTATATAGTTGAGCAGATATGCTTTGGGATCTATAACAGATGAAGGCACTAAGATGTATAGATTCATTAGTGGGCTGAATGCAATATACGATACTTTACTTCAGCAGAGAGAGCAAGACTTTAGTGCTGTGATTGATTCAGCAAGGCAGATGGAGACCAAGTACATTTCTGACGGGGTGATTTTGGGCAGAAGAGGTAGTAGGACTACAGCTCCATTTGGAGATCTTGGTGTATTTGGGATGAGTGGATCCTTTGCTATGGGTACGCAGTCTCCAAGTTCTCAGTTCTAAAACTAAAAAAAAAAACGCCACATTGCGATCGATTTTTGCGACGGACTTAAATCGGTCGCAATTTTGCGACCGATTTGCGACGTATAGGCAAATAGTCACAGATTTTAGCGCTGAAAATTCCCACGAGTTTGGTTTTCAGTTTGTGACCCGTGTACTACGGATTTGCGACCGATTTTGCGACCGATTTGCGACTAAGTCAAGTTCTCGAGTTCTGCATAAACTTAAAAAAAAAAAAACGCACCAGACAGTTTGGCCGAATCAGATTTTGCGGACGGAACTTAAATCGGTACGCAATTTTTGCGACACCGATTTGCGACGTCATAGGCAAATAGTTCCACAGATTTTTAAGCGCTGAAAATTCCCACGAGTTTTTGGTATTTTCAGTTTGTGGACCCGTGTGTTAACTTACGGATTTGCGACGCGATTTGCGACCGAGGTGTTTGCGACTAAGTGTTTTCTGTCGCAGAAATTACGCGCTTGTGCAAAAATTTGGAATAAGTTCCTGAACCCGATTTGGCGACAAAATTGCGATGCGATTTTGGCGACCACTGGACTTCTTGACGTCGCAAATCGGTGTCGCAATTTTGTCGCGTATAAAACGCACGTCGGAACTATTAAAATTGGCGACCTGGTGTTTAATAAAGAATGATTTGGCGACCGATTGGTCGGCGGTACTTTCGCAAACCTTTATGGGCTTTAACGCGGACGCCCTCGTTCTTTTTCCTTTTTCTTCTTCCTTTCTCTCTTCTCCTTCCAAACCTCAGGGACGTTATATATATATGTATAAATGTCGAGGACTACTTAAATAATTATGTAAAACCTCAAGGACGAAATAATAATTTTCCCTATTAATAATAATAAGGTTATAGACGTCAAAAATATCATGTGAAAATCAATTTCCACCGTAGTGCTTTTACAAAATTGGACATCAATGGATGCTAATCAACCATATTTGGCAATGGCGTTTAATGTTATCACCTATTTGCGGTCACCTTTCCTCTACAATAACGGCGGACGGTAAATCAACCCACACGCATATCTGATCTATTGCACCATTATACTTGGACTAGATTCAAACAAATTACCAAAAACCAATACAACAAAAAATGTCATCAAAACTCAAATCATCGCCTCGCCTTCCATTGAAGACGAGACTTATCCTCGCCACATTCTCCTTGGCCACCAGCACCGCTCGCCGATCAAACTACACCATAAACCGCAATTTTATTAAGTTATTTGACCCTAAAGCTCCTTCTTCTGCAAAACCCATTAATGATGTCTCCTCTTTTGATATAACCATAGATCCTAATCACAATCTCTGGTTCCGTCTCTACGTCCCCGCCACCAATTCCTCTAGAAGTACTATATACAGCTTGCCGGTAGTCGTTTACTTCCACGGCGGTGGGTTTTGTTTCTTGGCAGCAGATTCAAAGCAATTCGATCAATTTTGCAGACGACTTGCTAAAGAAATTCCAGCAGTAGTGATTTCCGTTAACTATCGTTTGGCACCAGAGTACAAGTGTCCCAGCCAATACGACGACGGGTTTGACGCATTGAAATTTATTGATTGTATGAATTTTGAAAAAAAAAAAAAAAAAAAAAAAAGCTCATCTTCTATTGTTTGTTGTTATATTGCTTAGTTAAAAAAAATAATTTACAACATAATAAAATTATTAAAAATTATTAGCAGATTTTGAAAATTCTCTTATTAAATATAAAAGCACACATAAAAATTATAAACTATGATAATTGCTAGTGAATGCTATTAATAATATGTATTTATCCTTAAGGATTCCAAGAATTCTTGTCATACACTCCTTCAACTTTTTTTAATAATAAATTTGCAAAATATTTTCATATTTGGAAAAATAAAAGGGCCTAAATTTTTATTTATTTATTGTCACGACCCATTTCCATGGATCGGACCGGCACTAGGACCTGGGTGGGCTTAAGGCCCCCGAACCCGTAGTAAGTCTATATTATGCAAATCTCAAGTGTATTTGGTTGAATATCCAAATGTCATCCATGGATTTTACTGTATGTCAGAATTACCTGAATCTTCTTTGTTGATTAGTGAAATCAGGACGTTTATTAGAAAGCAAACGGCTAGTTCCTAGTCCTTTTTTTTTTTTTTTCCTTTTTTTCTTTTTGTTATTTGTAAAATAGAAATTATTGGTGAGATTTGACTATTAATATAAATTTCTGAATAATATAATTTAAATAAGGGACTTATATTAAAAAATTCTACAACTGCGGAGTCACTAACTGATTGATATACATAGCCTTTTATACATACAGTTACATAGTGAAATAATTATGGAACTAAGGAAAATTCCTTTAGTGCCCTGCGTCGAAGAAACGTATCCTAAATCGAATTAGAGAGAAACTTACTTCCTGAAAAATTAGACAAGATATGTGAGGGTTTCTAAGGAGTGACTATTATTAACACACACACACATGTCACACAATTGTGTAAATATATATGAAATGCTAGTCGTCGATCTCTGCCGACTAGTTATATGGCTCACTGCAGAAACCAGTCACACAAATGGCATGTCACCAGTGACTTCTCACAACAATATCACCTTCAATTAATCACATCACGAGGAAACAATTGGTTCTAATGGTGTCAACGAAACGCCCCGATAGAGCCCGTCTCTGTAGAGCACGCACATGGCCCATCTCTCATAACGTGTGCAACCAGGGGGCCGATCCCATCCGATAACTGGCGCAACCGGCATTCTATCCTCACTTGACCAGCCCTCTCATTGTTTTTTTAGACCAATTCTTCTCGTTTTCTTTTGCCATACCAACAGGAGGCAACCGGCGGTCATTCTCCATCAAATCTAGATCATTAGGCGCTCACAACAGGGAGGCCACCCTGACGGGCTTGCGATTCAACACAGATTTATCAGGTCGGCCCATAAAGGAAGCCAACCTGTGGTTTTTCCATATCAATAACAAAACACAAACAGGTAGGTACAGTACACGGGGGCGCCGATCTCCGCTATTTACGCATCCAGACCGAGGAGCGGTCTCCATGCTTTTTCGACCGTCCTCACAAACCCATGGTGCCCAATTCCACACAAGCAAAGCACAGCAATATCACAACACAATTAATCAAACATTGCAATCAAATGCAGACATATTAATCAATTAAACATCGTTATGCAATGCGCAATTAAACATCCATAATCAATGCAAATAAATAATTAAATAAATAGTATTAGCAGTTAACAACAATAATAAAATGAGTAACAATATTAACAATAATAATGAAAATAAATAAATAAATATGTAAATAATTAAATGAATAATAAAAATAATAAATAATCAGAACACTATATTTATTATGTACCAAATTATAGAATTTATTTAAATAAACTTATTAATTATATTGTTAATTAACACTAATCTAAATTCTACCGAAATTTCGGCAGCATTTCCCCTAAAAATGGGATTATCTACCTGCTTAAATATCAACAATATTATACCCATCAACCATTACACACACAGCCCATCCATCGGGCAATCAAACAAATTAATCAATCAATCAACTTAAAATCCCATCCTCCTTCCAAAACAACAATATCGACACTCAACCATTAATTTACAACAATCATGTTCCAATGGTAATAGCAATCATTCTTTACCATATAAGATCATTTATTAAGTCATTAGTTAACTAAATTAATAGCTTTACGGTAACTAATTTGTTAAGCAACTAAAACATACTTAACAATAACTAATTATAACTACTACCTATTAAAATTCGGTTTTTATATCAATATCGAAAATGGCTAGGCCTCCCAAATCTTAAGTTATCAAAATTTTGGATTTAACCGTTAACCAACTAAAATTCGCCTTACTTTTCTTATGCACAATCGGCTAGTCTTAAACTAATGGTTATCTAATTAACTAATTAACTAATTCTAATTTATTTTCCTCCTTAAATCACCTAATTATAATAATAATCATGTAATTTATTTGACAATGTTATGTAATTATATTTGAAACAATTGTTCCTAACTCTAATTTACAATTAGTTTACTTTCTAAAGTCCGTAAAACCACAGTTAACAATCAGTAGTTCGCTGATCGCAAATACCGCACACTATAGCAATACTAATTATTATTTTACCAAAAAGATTATAAATGTTTCAATACATATTTTTTTATTTTTTTATTTTTATTTTTTAATTATTTTTAGTTAATTCAATAAGTTAATATCTTGTTATTCAATTTAGTCTATTTAATAACTCGATTAAATTCATTAGTCAATTAATTCTTTATATATATAAAAATTAAGAATTTAATCTTAGAACATACCCATTGGGAATCGGGCGACAATTCCATGATCAGCGCGAAGAGAAGAGGATTCTGTCTCTCGGGGCCTCGCCGGAGTGCCGCCGTCCGGTCACCGGACCGCCGCCGCCGACCGCCATGCACGGTGGTCGGAAATTCAAATCATCACCAAAATTAACAAACAATCTATCATTTTATTTGTTTCGATGAGAGGATCATTAATATGTATTCAAATCAAGGTGGGTACGAACTATTTGGCCGGAAATTGATCGGAAAGGTTCGGTGATACCCATTTTGGCACAATTTCAATTCAAATCTACGCTATAATCTTCATCCTTGCGTTGAGTAGATGTTTTTAGAGTATTCATTTGCCGAATTTGGTGGCCGGAGGAAGGAGATCGAAGAAGAGGGACGAGGAGGAGGAGGAGGTGGTCACGCTACTGGGTCATCAGCGCTACTCAGGAAAGAAGGAGAAGGACAGAAAAGGAAAAGAAAAGAAGAAGCGTAAAAAATGAAATCAGAAAGCAAATGGGCGCCCGGTCCGGTTTCCGATTCGAATACGGTTCGGTCGCGATTCGAGTGGATTTCGTCTGCAATGTTCCGTTTAGGTTTCAACAAGTTTAATGATTTTTAGGTGCGGTTTAATTTATCTAAATTGTAGTTTAGTTGGATGCATAAAACATTCTCTCATTTCAATTTACTTTGCTAATGAGTTGCGACACGATAAAATAATTGATATATAGATAAGATTGAATTAGGGAATACATTCGTTTTATATCTGTAGAGTTTTCCATTTTATTATCATTCAAATTTCAGACAGTTTCGGTTATTGGGCCTTGGGACCCAATTCAAATTCCAGGGCTCAAGTTTAAAGCTTGTCGGCTCTTAAACAACCCGCATATCTATCTAGACCCAAAATTATCGGGTTTTTGATTTAATAAAAGTCCAAAAATTTTTGAAGAATAAAATTTCGGGGTATTTCAACCTTCATACCGTTTTTTCTTTTGCTCGAGATAACGAAACAGAAATACAAGGTAATTGTACAGGAACCGAAATAATTCAACAGAAAAGGAAAAAAATGTAGATTTTATCTAAATTATCTAATAAATATGAATTAGTAGACTCTATCTAGCTACAGTGCACTAAAAGTTCCAGATGCTCGATCATATAATTAATATAAACAAATTAGCTATTGCAGCACTTTTTTGTCTTATTTATGTTTTTTTCGTGACCGAAAGGGTTCTGAAACTTTCGGTTCTCAATAATACAATGATCACAATATAAAGATCGCAAGTTTCAGTTTCAAATAAGTTAAAATTGAATTTATAAGTTGATGGAACTTTAAATTAACCTAAACCTAATCAAAGTTCTGAAAGCAGGAGATATTTGCACAAAACAGGCACAGTGAGACTGGCGGTGATGGAGCATGACCTTCTCGACACACAGGCGGATCCATATCTGCTATAGAGACAGTTCGATTATTAGTAAGTGAACTAGTCCCTATTTATGAAACTGATGTTTAATGAAAGGACACTATGTATATTATTATATCATGCATAAAAATTCATTACAGGCTAAACAATTAGGTCATGAGCCAAACCTCATTGAGGTGTTTACATACACTCACACGAAGGACCACGATCTGAATACGTTTGATCTGAATACGTTTTGTCAACAGACGTGCGGTGAGCGTCAATGTAAGTAACAATGAATAATATTACATTTACCCTCTACTCGTTGCGAAAGATGTACCAAAGTTCAATATAATAAAGCTTGCAAGTTGCATTGATTAAATTAAATTTTTTTGTTTTCAAGGAGAACTATACTACAGCTCGGAAAGCGTCTGTTTCTCTCAAGACCGGATGAAATCTGAAGCTGAGTCAAGAATTGACGAGGTATGCGCTTTATCTCAGAGGCTGTAGGGAGCGAGAAGAGAGGAAGGTATACGACATCCGGGTCTCAGGCAAATCACAGTTTTACTGGCGGCTCAGCAGCTCAAGCTTTATACAGCCAGCGCAGGCTCACAGCCCGAGCACACTGACGAGCACTATAACTGAATTACGGAGCTCAACTTGCTGATCAGCAGAGACAAGATGCAGAGGCTTAGAGCGCATGTGATGCGGCTTGTCCCGGTGAGCCCGGTGCTGGTACTTCCTCCTGCTGATCCTGCACTGCTACAGACCGAAAATGGTTTCGACGTCTCCCAGCAGCAGCCACTACCGGCTCCTGATCCCGATGCCTGCAGACGATACCTTGGTCACACCCTCCTGACGTCTACATCACGTCCAGCAGGTACACTTCCCCGGCGATCCGACATCGATCTGCAGATTGAGCAGCAGCGTAGATTTGATTTTGGACATTTTTAGTTTTTAAAATTTGTAATTTTGATATTTTGTTCAGTAACAATAAAAATTACATTTTTATATTATCTTAGAATTGCGTGTGGTGATATATATGGTATACATGTCCAATTTTACAGGTGCGAAAAAAATTATGGTTTCCAATAATAATGATTTAAATTTTTTTTTATTTTTTTCACTTTTGCGACCGATTTTTTTTTTTCACTTTTGCGACCGATTTGCTACCAAAAATTAAAATTTTAAATTTACAATTTGCGACCGATTTGCGACCGAATTTTAAAATTGCGACAAATTTTTTCTGTGACCAATTTGCGACAGAGTTTATAAATGAAACACGACCAAAATTTGTGACCGATTATTCAGGTTTGCGACCGATTATATCGGTCGCTAATTTGCGACCGATTATATCGATCGCTAACGAAATCATCGATCACAAACATCTTTGCGACGAGCGATTTTGCGACCGATATCTATCGGTCTCAGATCGGTTGCTAAGTGAAATTAGCGATCGATTTTTGCCATTTTGCGACCGATTGGTCAGTAGCAGATCTAGTGGGACCGTATGTCACAAATGTGGTAAATCTCATAAGGGAAGATGTAATTTTGATGCTAATACCTGCTTCAGATGTCACCAGATCGGGCATTATGCTAGAGATTGCCCACTTCTTCAGCCATGACATATGCCATCCCAGTCTTCTATGGGTAGTGTGTCTAGACCCCCTTTCATCACACCTTATGCATCGGGTTCTAGATTTGCAGGCCAGCAAGGCCATAGTTCTTTTGGAAGAGGCAGAGGTCAGAGTTCTATACAAGCTTCACAATCTGCAGGAGGATAACCTCGACTTTTCCATTTGACCCAGGGGGATGCTCAGGCATCCAAAGCCGTGGTGGCAGGTATTCTTACTATTTGTTCATTTGAGGCACGAGTTTTGTTTGATCCTGGTGCCACCCATTCATTTATATCTCCTGGGTTTGCCACTAAAGTAGATAGAGTCATTTATATCTCCTGGGTTTGCCACTAAAGTAGATAGAGTGTTCGATCAGTTAGACTTTCCTTTATTGATATCAATGCCTTTAAGTGAACCCGTCTACACTAATGTTGTCGTTTTGGACTGCCCTATTGTTCTTGAGGGTGGAGACTTACCTGCGAATTTAATTATCGTGGATGTGATTGACTTTGATGTTATACTGGGTATGGATTAGTTGCAGAGGTATGAGCAGAGGTGCACTGTAAAAAGAAAGAAATCGCTTTTAATCTACCAGATGGTGAGAAGCTTATTTATAGGGTGGATAAAAGCATAGCTCCTTACAATTTAATTTCTGCAATAAGCACTAGGAAGATGCTGGAAAGAGGCTATCAAAGGTATTTAACACTGGTGAAGGACACTTTTGCCGAAACTCGCAAAGTTGAAGAGGTGCCGATTGTGAATGAGTTCTTGGATGTGTTTCCAGAGGAATTACCCGGTCTTACTCTAGATCGAGAAATTGAATTCAGCATTAATCTAGTTTCCGACACAAAGCCTATATCTATGCCACCTTATAGGATGGCACATGCAGAATTAAAAGAGCTTAAGGAGCAGTTGCAGGAATTGAGCTAGATAAAGGCTTTATCCGACCAAGCACTTCACCTCGGGGTGCTCCGGTCCTTTTTGCGAAGAAGAAAGATGGCTCTTTTTGCCTATGTATCAATTATAGGCAGCTGAACAAGGTGATAGTGAAAAATAACTATCCACTTCCTAGTATTGATGATCTATTCCATCAGTTGCAAGGAGCTACTTATTTCTAAAAAATTAACCTTAGATTTGGTTATCATCAATTGAAGATCAAAGAGTAAGACATTCCTAAAACGACTTTCAGAACCAGATATGGTCATTATGAATTCCTAGTTATGTCATTCGGACTCACCAATGCTCTAGCAGCTTTTATGGACCTGATGAATCGTGTGTTCAAGCCTTACTTGTATCAGTTTGTGATCGTGTTCATAGATGATTTTCTAGTTTATTCTAGAACTGAAGCAGAACACATGCACCATCTAAGGACTGTGCTATAAACTCTGAGGGAGCATCAGTTATACGCCAAGTTTTCTAAATGTGAATTTTGGTTAAAAAGCGTGAATTTTTTGGGTCATGTAGTATCTAAGGATGGAATCATAGTTGATCCTAAGAAAGTATAAGCAGTTATCAACTGGCCTAGACCGACTACGGTCATAGAAATTCATAGATTTTTGGGTTTAGTTGGCTATTACCGTCGTTTTGTGCAAGGTTTTTCTAGAATAGCAGCTCCATTAACAAAACCCAGAAGAACGCCAAGTTCATATGGTCTGATTCTTGTGAAGCAAGTTTTTAGAGGCTCAAAAAGTGCTTGACCACTGCTCCGGTGTTAACCTTACCATCAGGCAATGAAGGGTATCTTGTGTTTTGTGATGCATCCAGAGTGGGTTTGGGTTGTGTCTTGATGTAGCATGGTCAGGTTATTGCGTATGCTTCTAGACAGTTGAAGAAGCATGAGCAGAATTATCCCACTCATGATTTGGAAATGGCAGCAATCATTTTTGCATTGAAGATAAGGAGATATTACTTGTATGGTGTGTCCTGTGAGATCTTCACTGATTATAAAAGTTTGAAGTATATTATTGATCAGAGAGATCTAAATTTGAGACAGAGGCACTGAATGGAGTTCCTTAAGGATTATGATTGTACCATTCAGTATCATGCTAGGAAAGCTAATATAGTGGCCGATGCTCTAAGTCGAAAATCTTTGGAAAGTTTAACTCATATTTCAATGGAAAGGAGACTGTTAATCCGGGAATTGGATGAAATGCTTGATGGGGGCCTTGTACTGGAAATTTCTACTTCAGATTGTTTGTTGGCTCACTTCAGAGTAAGACCGATGTTGTTTGATAGAATCAAAGCTGCACAAAATAGAAACCCGTA